GATCTTTTTGGCTCTGATAATGAAGAGTATACTAAAACTCCTGCAATTAGCACTTACTCAATTCCTGGTAAGGTTCGAATTGGTTTGAGATTATACTTGTATGAGAACAAAATCTGTAATAACTTGGGATTCATAAGATTGTTTTGTGTAGCTTTTTTTCCCACTGATTGTGATTGATTGTGCATTGTGTAAATAGTTTCTGTGACTGAAGTTTTTGGCTATTATGAAAAATGTGACAGTTTTGCCTGTGGGATGGAGCAATGACAACCATAGTGGGAGAGGAGGAATGGGACGTGGTGGTCGTTGGCCAAATGGGAGAGGAGGAGCAGGTCTTCTTCCCCGGCCTGGGCCTTTCCCTGGACGCGGTCGTGGTTTTGGCGGAAGATACCAGAATTATCAGCGCGATGAGCGTTTTGTTTCCGAGCTTAAACTTTCGAAAAGCAAAGAAACATTGTCTAGGAAATCTACCAACTTTCAGGAGGTAACATTTATCAGGAAAAACTTTTTTAAAGACTATACGCCCATTTCTTGTTTATTCTATGTCTGTATTCACGGATATGGTAATCATGTTTCAAAATGCTTGATATTAACAGCCATGTGAGCTTACTAGCTACAGTCGTGTTGAAGGTGGAGAAGTATTCTTTGATGAGCGAGGATTGGTGAGAGGTTTTGGTATTATTGTTCCTTTAGATTCTCGCTTTTTCGTTTTTGTAGTCCCATTAAACTGTCTTGTTGGATTATTTATGCAGTCGAGCACATACGTAAGTGCAGACATGTGTAAAATATAGCTTATATGTATCTATTTTGTTCTTGTATCCCAGAGGCTTTTCAAGCGTCGTATTGCTGAAGAGATTGGAGCGGATTTAAATCAAGGTTATGACACTTTTATTGAGAAAAGAGGTAATGAATTAGTGGCACAGGGTATTCATAGGGAGCTATTAGCATGTGTAATATGTAGAAGTTTGATGTTTTCAGCCTGATTATAAGCTCTTTTGAGGCAGATCTGGGCTCCGAGGGCTTTGGCGATCTACTTGCTAGCATTAGAGCAAAAAACATTTCGCTGGAGAACATGCATTTTGTGGTATGAAGTGCTTGTATACATCAGCCCATTCAACTCTCAATGCATTACTCGGCAGAGGTTATCTAACAGTGTCTTCTTTTTTTGCTTTGTTTCGGACAGACATTTCGTAATAATCTAAACAAAGTAAGTGAGATCCCCCAACAGTTATTTGACCATTCTGATATCAAATGATTTGGTAATCAATCTGTGTGATTTGTTTTACTCGCTCAGATACTGGGCACTGCTTACAACCGGCATGAACCGTGGGAAATGGGTGTGCATAAGAGGAATGGAACCATCTATCTGGATGTACATAAACTCCCTGAAAGACCACAAAGTGACTTAGATCGCCGCAGGTAACCTACTTTGTAATAGCTTTAAGTGATTCTACTAGTTTTAGCAGTGGTACTAGATTATGTCTACAGAGGAGAGAAAGTTAAACAACAAGTAATGTTTTGGGAAAATGGGTCAGGAGAGTTTACAACACTGCATTTTTAAGCTACTAATGTAGTCAATGTAAAATTTCAATCAGATGTTACTGGGGTTATTGTTTCGAGAGCCTTGCAACGGAAGATCCAGGAAGAGCTTATGGGGAAGATATACATCATGTGGATGCAAATGTTGAATTTTGTTCGGTTGTCAAGACTAAACTAGGAGCTCACCGGGTTTTGATGGGTGCTGAAATGGATTGTTGTGACGAAACTGATGAGGGAAGGAGAATTTACATAGAGTTGAAAACCTCTCGCGAGGTATGGCTCCCTTATGCAATATCTTTCCCTAAAAGCTCTTTTGTTATTTAAATTTCTCTTTTTCATTGCCTGTAACTTTCCTACTGTTTGCGTTCTAGTTGGATGATCGTACCATAGAGAGATATGAGAGAGAGAAACTGCTGAAATTCTGGGTAAGTATGGTTGTCTCACAAGTTGCATATATCTTCTTTGTATCACCATTATTGTGCAGCCTTACAGATAACAGTGATAAAACCGGTTTAACATGCTGCAGATACAATCATTCGTAGCAGGAGTCCCGTTTATTGTCGTTGGATATAGGTATGAGTTTGTCTCTCCCATTCATATGATAAACCTTTAACCTATCAAGATTCAAACAAAGAACTGAAAGTAAACATTTCCGTGTTCCTTTTTTTTTAAATGGGTGTAGAGATGATGGAGGGAGATTAGTACGCACAGAGAGACTAAGAACCAAAGATATCGCACACCGAGCAAGATTGAAAAACTATTGGCAGGTCAGTGTAAATCACTACACTCTCGTTATAGACATAACTAAATTAGAAATCTGTATAACGTTAACACGTCGAGTTTTGGCTGATTTAGGGAGGAGTGTGCTTAGCATTCGCCGATGAGGTACTTTGCTGGCTATACGGAACTGTTAAAGAAAGTAAGCTTCAGATTTCTTTGTGTTTACATAAGAAACAACGGAAGAAGAAAAATATCTTTGAAGTAACATTTTTCGACAAATGTGTTTGTTTTTGCAGACGAGGATTACATACTTCAGTTCGTACATCCGTTCATGAGGCTAGAGCTTCTTCAAGCTCAGTCTTGTCCTGACGCCATTACTAATCATGTTCACCTTCTTCAAAATCCTCCATCACCACCACCTGAATAAAATAAAATATAAAAAAAACTATGGTCCATGGGAGTCTTATTATAATTTTATTACTTAGGGTTCAAAATCAAAAAATTAAATAAATTTTGGATTTGTTCTGTACTATTATTAACAAAAGTACCCAAACATTGAAAAAGTTTCCCACGTCAAGATTTTATATTTTGGTTCATAGCCCAAAACGATGGGCCTGGCTTTATAGTCTTACCACGTGATCGTCACGTG